AAGCCTTCCGCTCTGGGAATAAATAAAGTTAGAATCACCGATGCCGGACAATTTTAATATATAAATTTTGGTTATGATTAGTTTCATTCTGAGACATAATATTTGTGACGTTTTTCTGTTTTATTAGTATGATTACGAATATTTTATACCTGTGAGTAATAGTTACTTGATACTTTAAAGCGGCTAAAAGATACATCTAGAATAATATTTAATTTTTATTTTGACCTCCGCAGTTATCGCTATAAAATCTAAATTAGTCTATTCTTTTTTGAACATTGTCGATAATGAATTTCTAAAAACAACTACTGATTCCATTTGCACCTCTTCTACCGCTTGTTTCATTCCAGATATAATATGGGCCTAATTTACTAGCCATATTGAATATAGTAAAATTGTAAATTGACAATTTTTTTCTTATAATACTTTTGCGATATTTCTCACAGTGGCGGAGACAAACTTTTTTCCAAATCAAGTGATGCGCACAAAATAGAAGTATTATTTATGGCTTCTTCTTTATTAGTTTCCATCAGCTGTCGGGATTGATTTTTATTTTTAATGTACTCATCATACACATCTTTAAATTTTGATAATTGCTTCTTGACATATGACAAAAATTTGTATGAAGCACATTTATCACATTGATCTTTTTTAGGGTGATGAAAGCCTAAATTAAACTCGTTATTGAAAATGTGACGATATTTGTGATCAGAAGCAATAAGCGTGAAATTCTTATCTGACATGGAATTCTTGATACATGGAATTAATACATATTGCTGATCCAAAATTTAACACAGGATGGATACAATTTTCAAAAGTTCTTAAAATCGCTTGAAATCTGTTACTCGGGGGTTTTACGAATCCGAAGTCAGATGTAAAAAATTTAAAATGTCAGATCTAATATGGCGGACAACAATATTGAAACTTCATCCTTTTCTTCTTCCTAAATCTCATACGATAACTGATTTTATACGTTATTGTCATTTAAAGAATCATCATTCAGGAATTCAAACGACCCTTCATTCCACGAGACAAAAGTAGTGGGTAGTCGATGGTCCAAGTATGGTACGAAATGTTATTCGTAAATGCATACGATGTTTTCGAACAAATACTCTAATTGTTAAATGTACAACGGGCAATTTACCGAAGGTTAGAATTACGGAAGCACGACCAGCGACCACTCCTAAACGTAGGTATTGATTATTGCGGACCCTTTTTCGTGAAAGAAAAGAAATTTTGGAATCGCAATAAAGTTACAATTTACGTAGCTGTCTTTGTTTGCTTCGTAATTAAAGCAGTACATCTAGAAGTAGTCAGCGATTTGACTACTGAAGGATTTCTGGCAGCATTAAAAAGAGTTATAGCACGCAGAGAAAAACCTATTAACATTTTTTCTTATAATGGGACTAATTTTGTTGGTGCGAACAACCAACTTAATGAAATTTATGCTTTGTTTAATTCTAATGAGTATAAGTTAAAATATTTCAAGTTTTAAAACAATCTATGTATGTGTGCGTTGGCATTTTATTCCACCTGTTTCTTCTCATCTCGGAGGATTTTGGGAAGCAAGTGTTAAATCTTTTAAGCATTACGTTAAAAGAGTAGTAACAGATTCTTTCTTCACATTTGAAGTATTTAATACTTTTAGAATCAAGAATGAAGCCATTATGAACTCCAGACCTTTAACTCCTATCTCAAATGATCATAATAACCTTCTGGTAATGACGCCTTGTCATTTCCTAATCGGCGAATCGTTAACGAGTATTCCTTTTCTTCATGTCACAACAATTGCAACAAACCGGTTTTCCAATTAGCAGCATCTTGAGAAGATTCGACAACACTTTTAGGCCAGGTGGTCCAGAGAATATGTAAACGAATTAAATATTCGCTTAAGTGGACTAAAGGCCAACATTACATCCAGGAAGAGACATTTGTAATTATCGAGGAATATAACCCTATTGAAAATCCCCATATGGGAAACCACATGGGATCCTATGTCAAAAACCATGTAAAACCCTACTTCCATGAAGGAAACCACGTGGTTTACCATGTGGTTTCCCATGTCAAACCATATGGGAAATTGAGACAGGATTTTAGTTAAGAATAGACATGGGAAATTTGAACAGTTCATCTATGCATAAAACCATATCAAATCCCACATGTTTTTCCCAGTCAAATCCTATACCGAATCCCATGTGAAAAACAGTATCATTTATTTATAATTATTTTCCCAAGTCAATCCCCAAGTGAAAAACAGTATCATTTATTTATAATTATTTTCCCATGTCAAATCCTAAACCAAATCCCATGTGAAAAACATTATCCGCCTTATTGAATATCCCTACATGGGAATCCACTTGGAATTTTACGTGATATTCCACATGGTTTCCTTAGTAATGATAAAGATTACTGTCGCTCCTATACTTTCACCGCTAGGTGGTGAAAGTGACTTCTCTCGCTGTTGAGACGACTCTGGAAGTATATAAAAGCTGAGAACCTGTAGCAGAGAGGACGTGATTCAAATGATCGTTTTTTTACTTTTTTGATGACTTGTAACACTAATACTATTTATTATTTAATTTTTTATTAAATAATTTTTAATCCTTTGAAAATTTCTTTATTGGATCTTTAATAAAATACTATGTGATATCTCATATTAAATCCTAGGTGAAATCTTGCATGAAATCCTATGTCATTTCCATATAAAATCCTATGTGAAATCCCTTGTAAAATTCCAAGTGGATTCCCATGTAGGGATATTCACTAAGGCGGATAATGTTTTTCACATGGGATTTGGTTTAGGATTTGACATGGGAAAATAATTATAAATAAATGATACTGTTTTTCACTTGGGGATTGACTTGGGAAAATAATTATAAATAAATGATACTGTTTTTCACATGGGATTTGGTTTAGGATTTGACTGGGAAAAACATGTGGGATTTGATATGGTTTTATGCATAGATGAACTGTTCAAATTTCCCATGTCTATTCCTAACTAAAATCCTGTCTCAATTTCCCATATGGTTTGACATGGGAAACCACATGGTAAACCACGTGGTTTCCTTCATGGAAGTAGGGTTTTACATGTGTTTCTCGTTTTGTAATTTTATTAAAAGAGACAAATTGTAAGTTGTGAATTTGATATAAGTTTCTCTTCTTTATTAAAAGGTACGGGATTTTCCAAATATATATTACTAGGGGTCGTCCATATACCACGTGGACAGTTTTTCAAAGATTTTTGACTCCCCCTCCCCCCTTGTGGACACAAAAATACATGGAATCGTGGACATTTTCAAACTTTTTTAACCCCCCTCCCCCCAAAAGTGTCCACGTGGTATATAAACGACCCCCTACCATTTTTTAAAGTAAGTAAAAAAACTTTACATACAACAATTATGTATATTGCTAAACTTAGAGGTTATGTTTAATTTTTATTTTGACATTACTCGGTATTTGATAAATTACCTGATTAATATTATTAATTGAGTTCGATTATTATTTTAGACAAAGAAAAAGATGAATTTAACCTTTGCACTTTATCAAAAGATGAAATTGACGAACTTTTTTTAATCCTTTCAGTTCCAGTGGTCAATATGACGACCACTTTTTAAGCCACCAATTTTTTTATCATAACTTAAAGTAAAACTTTAAATAAGTGCCTATTACTTATTTTTATGTTTTTACAATTAAGATTTAGTAGTTTTTTTACCAAATTAATTTTTATGTTTATTGTTATTTACAAGTTTTTTTTTTTCTTTATTTATACTCATGCCCTATTGGCCTTACGCACTTCGACAAGAGTCCCCGAGAAATACTTTTTTTTTTTTGATTAAGCATAACCATTCTACTTTAGAAATTTTTCTATATATTAACCTAATTTTGCGTCTACAGCCGACTTTATTAGGAGTACTCGCATTACGCCTGGACCACCCGTCAATGGGTTTTCTCGCCAGAGAAGAGGGAAACTGTAGAAAACCTCTCTGAGTACAACCGGTTTATCGAAAGTCGAGTTCTAATGGTGTGTACCGGACAATAATCGACGGTGCACATCATTATACCTCGACGTCAAACCTCCCGCTCAGATTGTCTCACGTGCCGGAAAAATACCAAGCCAAGTGGGCGCGAACCAAGGGTACTTATACCCTTGGTCCTTAAACGACCACCAACGCCAGGCATCTATCCGACTGAGGTTATTTACAAGTTTTTACACAGCAACTCATTATTTTAGGTTGAACTTGACTGTAATAAAATTAAATCAGTAACATATAATTTAAATTATGGTTCTTTTTTAAATTCTCAGGTTTGCTGAATATGAATCTGAAATCAGATATGCAAATTCAAAGTCTCGGATTCAATATGGCGGACAAAAATTGAAAACTAAACAAATTTATTTGAAAATTGTCACTCGGGGGTTTTTGGGGCCGTTGCTGATTACGAATATAAAGCCAGTTATTTAAAATTAAAAATGTCGGATCCAATCTGTCGGACAAAAATTAAACAAATTTACCCAAGTTGTCACTTGGTTTTTTTTAATTTTAAAAGAATGATTCCAGATTTGTATTTATACATCCCGAAAACTTCTAAGAATCAGGCTTCAATCTTATATGGTCAATTTTTAATTTTTGACCCTATATTGTATCCATTATTTTAGAAAAACTGACTTCAGATTCGTAATCAGTGATCTACAAAAACCTAAGTAACAATTTTCAAGCAAATTTGATGGATTTTTATTTCTTCGTCCACCATATTGAATCCTCCATTTTCAATTTTATAAAACTTATAGAACTAACTTCAGATTTGCATTTAGCGACCCCAAAAATCTCCAAATGCCAAACTTTAAGAAAATTTTGTTAATTTCAAATTTTGTCAGCCATAATGGATCTGCAATTTTAAATTTTTAGTAACTGACTTCCGATTCATAATCAAATGTGACAGACTCGTCCTTAGAGATCTGTCATATTAACATTAATTCACTTAGATCTAATATAAATCTTCTACGTATGCATTTATCACTGCATACGTATGATGTTGTTGCACTGAGTGAAACGTGGCTCACTGAGGAGGTTGATGATAGTACGGTTAACATTAGTGATTCTAATTTTGTTCGAAGGGACAGAAATGGTAAGAGAGGTGGAGGTGTTGCAGTTTATGTTAAGAAATATCTTGGTCTTCGGGTTTTATATTCATCTCCATGTGATTTTGATAATAAACCCGAGTATATTATTATTGAAATTTCGAGTAAAGATGTTAAGCCTTTACTTTTTGCTGTAGTTTATAGACGACCTGGAGGCGAGAATCTTAATCATTTTGAATATAATTTTAGTAGATTTTTAAATTTTTATGAAAATGTTGTTATATGTGGAGATATTAATTATAATCTTAATAAGAATACATCTGACTCAAATTATGTAAGAGATTTTTTTGATTCTTTCAATTTGTTTATTGTGCCATTCGCGGCAACTCATCATACGGCGAATTCGTCATCATGGTTAGATTTGTGTGTAGTGGATGATAAGGATAAGCTGATTGCAATATCTCAATCTCAAGCTCCTTTTGTGGCGGATCATGAACTTATATCAATATCTTATAGATGGGAATTTGAGAATAAAACATGCTCTACTAAAAGTTATAGGAATTTGTCTTTGATTGATGATTGTACTTTTTTGTCAACTCTTCGTTCTTTTAATTGGTCTTGTTTTAATCAATCACAATCTGTTGACAACAAACAATCTTTGATTAGTGAAGCAATCACTAGTGCGTTGGATGAGCATGCGCCCCTTCATAACCATGTAATTCGAGGAAAAGTGTGTCCATGGATGAATGATGAGATTCGGGATCTAATATACCAAAGAGACTCTGCTTTTAGAGCTTGGAAGAGAGGAGGAAATGCTTTAACAAGAAGTAATTTTAAAAAACTTAGAAATAAGGTAAAGTCTTTAGTTAAGCAAGCGCGTGATAGGTACAACACTGGTAGACTAAAAAACATAACGGATTCGGAAAAACTTTGGAAGGAGTTAAGACGTATTGGCATTGCTAAAGATAAAAGAGATGATTCTCCACTTAATTTTAATGTGAATATAATTAATGATTACTTTTTATCTGTTTGTGGAGACTCATCTTTTAATGTGACACCTTCCTTTATTTCGAACTTGCTTGTTAATTATGAGTTTAATGACGGTCTGTTTTTCTTTGAAGATATTTGTCCCTCTACATTATTAAAAGCTCTTAAAAGTATCAAAACAGAGGCGCAGGGATCTGATGGACTGTCTATAAGTTATATCATGAAAGGAATACCAGTGTTGTTTCCTTACGTGCTTGATCTTTTTAATATGTCTTTACAGACTTCCATTTTTCCGGAAGATTGGAAGAGGGTTTTGATTAAGCCTATTGGAAAGGTAAAAGTTCCGCAGCAGCCGGGGGACTACAGACCTATTGCTATTCTTTCTTCATTGTCAAAGGTTCTTGAAAAAGTTGTGTTTTACCAGTTGAATAAATTTGTTGAGACAAATGATGTTCTTAGCCCTTTTCAGTCTGGTTACAGAAAAGGGTTCAGTACACAAACACTCTTGGCTGGTGCAACTGATGATATATGTAAAGCGATTGATCAAAAGAAGGTAACCATAGTGGTGTTCTTTGATTTTAGTAAAGCTTTTGATTCGGTACCTCATACTATCTTGCTATCGAAACTAAAAGCCATAGGTTTGTCGGGGTCGGTAATAAGATGGTTTGCTTCGTATTTGTCAGGTAGAACCTAGGCTGTTGTGGGACCAGATGGAGAGCTATCTGAGTGGGGAAATATTGGAACTGGAGTTCCTCAAGGTTCAGTGCTGGGTCCTCTATTGTTCCTACTTTATACTAATGACTTCAGGGGTGTTCTCAAGTATTCGAAGCATATGTATTTTGTGGATGATTTGCAGATCTATATACATTCTAGTTTGGAAGACTTGCAAAATAATATAAGGTTAATAAATGAGGATGTTAAGGCTGTATTTGATTGGGCGAAAGTAAATATTCTTAAAATAAATTTTAATAAGACTTATTCTATGGTAATCGGCTCTACTTGGTACGTAAATAAAATAAATTTGAATGACTCCTCTGTAACAAAAATTAATGATAATACCATCCCTTTTGTTGATTTAGTTAAAAATTTGGGTGTTATCTTTACGCCAACTCTTTCTTGGGATAAGCAGGTTGGCAAAATGTGCAAGAGCGTCTATGCCACCTTATCACAATTCAAAACAAATAAGAAAGCCCTAACGGTTGAATTAAAGACGAAACTTGTTACGTCATTGGTTTTCCCTCATTTTGATTACTGTTGTGTTGTATATAATGATATGACTGAAGAATTAAATTATAAACTTGAGAAATTCCTGAATTCATGTATTAGATTTATATTTGATTTAAAGAGGGATGAACATGTAACTCCATATAGGTTACAGCTAGGTTGGCTTAGTGTTAGTAACAGACGACTTTGGTACATCGGCTGTCTTACACATGTAATTTTAAACAATAAGAAACCTTCGTACTTGTATGAAAAGTTTGTCTTTAGAGAGGAAATTACTACTAGAGAGTTAAGATCTCCTTGCATTCTTAGGGCTCCAAAATGTAAAACAGAAAAATATAAAAACTCGTTCATGGTTACTGCCATAAATTTATGGAACTCTCTCCCTCGTTCTATGACAAATATTGAAAGTCCAAAAACATTTAAACTACAATTATATAAATATTTATTTTCGTTGGATGTATAGAGTACATGGAGTGTATCTTGATTGGTATGTCATCTGTGTGTGAGTTGCTGTGATAATTTGTAAATCAAAGTATTTTATTGTCTGCATGAGATGTATATAGCTTTGTTTAACTTTATACGATATAAATGTTATTAATTACTGTATTTTTAATGGTTGTCCTCGTGGTATTTACCTAGGACATAATAAAATATATATTCTATTCTATTCTAACCACTCGAGAAATTAATTATGACGTAATGAAATTTTTTTTCCAAATTGAATCAATACGACCAAGACGTGTCTCTATTCAACTGATGTTTAAAATAGTAAATACATGTAATTTTTTTAATGAAATCTCTATCATTTTGTAAATTCTTACAAATTTAATGAAATTATCAAACTTAGTATTGATAAAAAGTTTAAATTCTAATATCAAACAATTTTTGTTACAATCTGATTCAATTAGTGAACTAAATTTTATTTGACTCTTTTGTTTGACAAAAATAAATTGATTTAAGACACTTAAATTTTGAAGTTTAAATATTTTAGTAATATGTTTTTTATGATTAAAATAGTATTCTTTAATTAAATCTTTAGAATTTTTATTTCTTTTGGTAAATTCAGTCTCCTATAAAATGATAATTCAATAAACTTAAAAAAAAATCACGTATTTTCTACATTTTTTGATACTCTTGTCCTTCCGGTTACGCAGAATCGAGTACTTTGTTTGTATTTATTTCAGAAAAAATAATACTTATAAGTACTATTAACAATTTCTTTCCTTCAAGTAGCAACATTTCGATGTATTCAATATATTTTTCGGATGAATACTAACAAAATAATATTAGGGTAGGCGAACACTTTTTCTAAAAAAATATTTTCTAATCTTTAAAGTCTAAAAAAGGCGATTTCTAATTACATCTGTTTTCTGAAAAAAATTTTCTAAAAAAGTTATAATTTCTAATGTTTAATTTCCAAAAATTTGTAAAATTCCATAATTATGATAAAAATTAGAAAATTGTTAAAAAATTAAAATTAAGAAATAAAAACTATTTTACATATTTTATGTTTCTCAATCACAATTCTGTTTACAAAATTATAAGTTTCTTTTTGAAAATAAAGAAAAAATTTTCTAAAATTAATATTTCTTATCACAATTTGTTAACAAAATTCTGTTTTTCTTTGAAAAAAAATAATTTGCATCATTTTTACACTAAAATTTCCAAAGTTAATATATTTATAAAAAAATTTTTTAGACAATTTTAAATATCTTTAGGAAAAAATCCCTATAATTTCTATTTGTTATTGACGATTTTTAACTAGATTATTTTAAAATTTTGTTAAAATATTTGCATAATTTCTATTTTTTATTATAATTTTTTGACGAAATCTCAATTATTTTTTTTTAAAATTAATAAATTTTTATTTTTATTTTTTAATCATATATACATATTGATCGTGATTAAAAAAATTGAATATTGTTAAAAAAAGAAAATTTTGAAAATTACCTTTATTATAAAAATAAATTTTTAGAAAATTACATTTATTTGAAGACAGAAAATTTCAAAATCACCTTTATTAGAAAAAACTTTTTTAGAAATTCACCTTACCTTTATTAGCAAAAAAAATATTTAGAAAATACGATTTAGAAAAACTCTACCCCAACTATTATTAGAATCATAAGAATGAACATTAAAATATTTAATGAAATTATAATTTAAATCTTTTGAGTTTGAATTGTCAAATAGGGTAACTCCGGACAGGAGGCTAACTTTGGACATTCGTATATTTCTGTAAATATTTTGTATTTCCATTCTACCTAAAAATTTTTATAAGGATTTCGCATTTCTATTGCTTTACCGAACATTCAAGGAACATTATATGACAGTTGAGAAATAAAAATAATCAAAAAAATGTAAGAAAAAAATTAATTTAGTTAGAAGAGATTTCAGGAAGTTATTGAACTTTGTGAAAAAACTTATTTGTATAAGCGAACATATGCAAGGTAAAAGCTATTTCTTTTTTAAAATTTAATCTACTATGTCTTGACATAAAATTAACACTAATTTCAATAACCTAAATTCGAAAATTATTTCGTAAATGATTTTTATTTAAGAAAATGTAATGGTCAGATACACGTCTTCTGGCGTTGATTACAGTAAATTGAGTAAAACTTTACTTTTATTAAATGTTTAAAAGCTTTAAATATACATATTGTTTATATTCTCAAATTGTATTACATTCTTATGTCCGAAAAAATATATTAAAAATGGCTAAATTTTAAAAATGTTGATTTTTCAAATGCACCATTAATTGAATTTAATTAGTTTTTGTTTTTCTAAAAAAATTATAATAAATAGTCTGAGAACCTTAGAATGGTTTCTTGTTAAAACAAAAATACGTAAATAATATAATTATCTAAAATAATCTTAAATTACACAAAAAATTATACGGTGTCCGAAGTTACCCCCCTTTGAAGGCTAACTCCGGACACTTGTTTTTTACTTCACAGAAAATAACAGAGATAAATAAAAAAATGTTAAATAGAAATATCAACACACAAGACCCTTAGGATGATATATTCTGAACATCAAACTTGCAGATATTATATTATAAAAAATATTAATAAAAAACATCGAAAACCGTCCGAAGTTACCCTATCTGACGGAATTTTATTACATTTATATCAGCTTAAAAAATGTTTGAGGGATTTCACAAGAAAATTACATGTATAAAAATTACATTTGAAACTTGACTTGAGTAGAGCCATGTTTTTTCACTTGGTAATTGGGTAAGACTCCGTCAGAAAAAAGCGATTTGCAAGTGGTCTTCCGATTTCTTCGAAACCTTGGGAAATAGAAGTCTTATATGAATTAAATTTAACCCTAAAAGGATTTTGAAAAATTTTCAAAATGGCGGCCGCTACGCCATATTGAAAATGAGTGTTGCGTTTTTTTCAAAAATTAATAACTCTGAAACTTTTTAATCGATTTTAATAAAATTTACAGGCGATATAGTTAAAAATACGTAGTTTAATTTGATATTATGAACAAAAAAAAATTTCCAAAATTTATCAAAAAAAAAGTCAAAAAAATTTTTTGAATTAATTTTTAGTTCAGTTGGCCTAATTTTTGAATTTTCTAATAAGTAAATATCGATTCCTTGTAATTTCACCTTTCATTTCATAAAAAAAAATTATGGAGACTCTAATAGTTCTCGAGATATTGCGACTTTAGTGGGAGCGCGTACCGCGGAATTAAACTCCGTAGCGAGGCGGAATATGAAGCGAGCGTACAAACGTGCACAATAGGGTGTCCGTAACAATTAATTTTCAAAATTTTGGATTCAATATGGCAGGTTCAAAATTTTAATTTTCTACATTTTCGAAGTAAATATTCTAAAACAACGTCAAGGGCGATATTTGGAAGCGCTATTTACGAATCTAATGTTAAAAATTTATTTTTTAAATTACCGAATCTAATATGGCATGGCGGATTCAAATTTTTTTTTAAATATTCCTTTAATAATCGATTTTTAAGAGCAGAGGTATAAAAAGTTAAATTTCTATAAAAGAGTTTCTAAAACATCCGAATAATTATTTTTTGTAAATATTAATCTATAAATTAATATTTAGACTATTTACTTAAAAATGTAGAAAATCATCATTTTGAATCCGTCATAGTGGATCGAATAATTTGAAAAATAAAATTTTAACATTAGATTCGTACACTCAGAAAAAAATTTGTTCGAATCAACCAAATTTTGGTTGAATCAACCAAATAAATGCATTGCTATACAGTCAACCAAACGTTTGTTTGATTCAACCAAAAAATTTCTTCCAATACGTTTATTTGTATTAACCAAATGCTTATTACACTTAACCAAAAAATTTTATTTAATATAACTAAAAAATTTGTTTATTTCAAGAGAAAAGATTTGTTTGATTCAAATAAATAGTTTTAGTAAACGTAT